CCTTGATAAAAGTCACTGAAATTCCACATTAATTTCAATGAATAGAATAGTATGGTGTTAGTTTTCTATGTGTTCATTGTTTTAAGGGTGGAGGTGTTAGGGCTGTATGTATTCCCTGTTTCTTTTTCCCTTTGGTTCCTCTACCCAGGTGTGCTGCATTGCTGTAACGAGGTTCAGACGAGGTGCACCTGGGGAAGGAAGTGCTTAAAAGCTCCAGTGCAGCAGCAGAAGAGAGAGGCCTCTGGTGTGGGGACTGCTGTGGTTCTGCCTCTCATCCTAAGATGGATAATTAAACCTTTGATGTGTTGTTATAATAAATGCTATGGATTTGATAATTTTAAAGGTGTCTTTCGTGTTCTATTTGGGTCAGTGGCGGAATTGTGTTAGCCCCATAGTGCAATTTTAAAGGTGGGGCGTAACACATGGGGGCTCATCCGACACACACACACACACACACACACACACACACACACACACACACACACACACACACACACACACACACACACACACACACACACACACACACAGTACAGTATTGTACATGTACAGTTAAACGTTCATTCAGTGTATAACTGTGGAGCTATTTGTATGTCTTTGTAACACTAATAACGGCAATTTCCAAAACAAAATGAGGGCTCTCATGTGCAACCACATAATAAAAAGACACAGTTAAACTCACAGCTTTATTTAGTGGCTCGTTTTGTCCAGTGCACATACTACTGTCCACCATGCAGTCTGATCCAGCCCTCTGAATAATGGTGGGGGGTTGATGGATAGCTGCTAACCACGGGGCCTGAACGCCTCACAATCCAGGTATAATTAACAGCAGCTATTTAATCTAGTGGCGGCTGCCAGAGGAGGGAGGAGGCCGGCTGTCTGAGGGAGGGATTGCAGCTTTGTAGCCTCTGCAGGATTTGTTTCACCTCTTTGTCTGCTCAGCCTAAGTGGCCTGACAGGCAAAATGTCTCCCGACCTGGCATTGTTATCTGGCTGAAATGGACCTGGTCCAATAGCATGACAAGCCCTGTCTCGGTTCAAATATCCCCTCGCTCTGCTCTTTCTCTTTGTGCACGTTCTATTTGTTGTGATCTTGTACAATGTATGACACGCTACCAGAATATAGCAGAACCTTTATACCATGCCTCAGGAGGTCGGGAGAGAAAGAACCACACTGGAGAGAGTGAAATACACTGAAACGTTGACTTTAATTAAATGTATCATGTCAACTGATTTCACATAACGGTATTAGTATGTTGAACGCATTAATATAAATATTAGGTTCAATTTAATATTATTGCTTTCAACTAACCTAATACAGTTATGTGAAATATTGTTGACAAGATACATTTAATTAGAGTCAACGTTAAAAAAACTGCACCACATTTATTACAAAATAGCAATACAATTAATACAGTAAAGAAAATCTATTTAATGTATTATCAGCATTCAGAGAGCTGAGACTTGCTTGAATAAATTGATTTCTCATGTAGGTTAACATTTTTTTCAAAGCTGTTCTGTCTGTAGTCTGACTTGAAAAGTTAACAGTGACACATACAGTAGGCATGTTAATACTCCTTACCTTGGTTGGCTTAAAGTAAGACTGTGTGGTTATTAAAAGAATAACCTCCTTCATATCAATCAATGGTATTGTGAGGTTTGTACAGTTCTGCTAATGGAGGAATTAGAACACTTATATCAAGGAGAGTGATGATGGAGATCTGAACCACTTCTGCTTTCATGGCCACCTCACACTGTGAACACTCGTAGGTCACCGCAGACTCAAATACTGTAAATAACAATTATAATCAAAAGCTCCTGTAATATGTACAGCAGTGAGAAACCTGCAGTACAGTACATAACATGAATAATCCAAGAGAGCTGATTTAATATTTAACAGTTGTTGCATTATTAGCTCCTGTGTCATGTAAATTATTTGATGTGACCTGTCTCAGCTGGTCATCTTATTCGATAAATGTCAATAAATGAAGCGCACGCAGGAAATAGCTCTTTTCATCCTTTCCCTCTTGTGTCCTTTTGACTCCCCCTGTTGTCCTTGTTTCCTGCCCTGTTGGGATTGATTCCTTTTAAGGCTCTAAGTGTATGTTTGAAACTGTCTTTGATTTGTCAGCAGGTGGGATTATCATGCAGGAAACACAGCTTCGTTTGTGGAGGCGGGGGAGAGAGTGAGCGCTTCAGGTTACACAAGGTTGGAAAACAGTTACTTTCAGGCCCTGTTTAGATCCATGATTACCTCCCCGGCACAATCAAAGTAGTTATAATGAAAATGCAACAAATCACCATAGAATCCCCAGCCTTTTGTCTGGCCCACCTCCACCCCACCCCTTCTCTCCTCACTGAAAGAATGGCTCTGACATTTCAGCCTGGGAGTGGAGAATAGAGGCAGTTTGTAATGTGTGCAGCCTTGCCTTTTCTTTCTCCCCTTGTAGTAGTACTTAAGTGTCATGTTAAGCCCGAGGCAGGGAAGACTCTCAATGACCTACTCTGGCTCACAGTTTGTGTTTACTGTATTCTGGGGTGGCTAAAGCGCCAGCAGAGCCCCGTCTCTTATCAGCACATAAAGTCGAACAGATTGGAGACTCAAATTTCCCCTTCCAGCCAATGTTGGTTTTCCATTGTCTGTGCCTGACAATAGTTTCACATACCCTAGAGCTTGAGTTTCGCTCCTCTTTATTTTGCTGCATATTAACCTCTATGTGAGTGCCGGGTATTTGCAAGGCAATAAAGAAGTTGCCCAAAACAGG